AAGGCATGGAGACACAGCCACTGTCACACCAACACGGCCACAGGGACATGGGTCATTGCCACATCAGTGTCCCGCCTGTCAGGGCATGAAGACCCAGCTACTGTCACACTAACATGGGCACAGAGAAGCAGTCGGTGTCACCCCAGTGCTTCTCTAGATACTGAAAGGCGTGACACCGGCTGAGTATCTGTGCCCATGTTGCTGTGACACCAGCTATGTCTTCATGCCCTAACAGGTAGGACATCAGCTGTGCTTCTGTGCTCACATTGGCATAACCCCAGCCAAGTCTCTGTGCACATTTTGGTGTGACACTGGCTGTGTCATGGTGCTGATGTTGGTGTGAAACCAGCTGTGTCCCTGGGCTGGTAATGGTAATATTTGTAACATTGGCCTCGTTTCTGCGCATACGTTGCTGTGACACTGGCTACACCAGTGTGCCCATACTGGTGTGACAAGATCTATGTCTCTGTGTCTTGACTTGTGTGACACTTGCTGTCTCTCTGTTCCCACTTGGGTGTGACCCTGGCCACTTCTCTGTGCCCGTGTTGGTGTGACACGAGCTGTGTCTCTATTTCAATGTTGTTGTGTCTATTCCAATATTGTGCTGCGTCTCTGAGCCCCTGACAGATGGGATACCAGCCATTGCTCTGTGCCCGTGCTGGTGTCACACCAGTTGTGTTTCTATGCCCATGTTGGTGTGACACAGGACGTCTTTTTGTACCCAGCAGGTGAGAGCTGGGTACCATGCCACTGTTGGCATACAGACACAGCTGGTGTGACACAGAGGACAGACATAGAGCAGTGGGCTGCTGTCCCACCTGCCAGGGCACAGAGACACAGCCAGTGTCACACCAGTGTGGGTACAGAGTCACAGCAAGCAGTGACAGAGCTGAGAGAGGGTCGTAGGAGACCAGTTTAAGTGAAGCACTGCGCACTGAGGGGCAGAGATCCTCTTTGTAGGTGGCCTTGCAGCCCCAAACAGGTACTGCTTTTGCCTTTGGGTCCTGGAGTGCTTGGAGGAGCTCCCAAATTGGCCCCAGATACAAGGCCACTGCAGTGCAGGCACTTGCCACAAAATGAAGGAGTCAAAGGCTGGAAAGAACTTGCCAGAGGTGCCCAGGTTGTCCCCGCTATCCCAGGACTGCAGGGGGAATCAGCAGCGGGTGCGCAGACAGTCTGCGCTTACAGGGCCCAAGGAAAAAGTCTCTCTTCAAGGGCAGTCTCACACTCTTAGCAACTCAACCCCAATGCCAGTCTCTGCTCAGCAGTTCCCCCTGGAAGCCCCCCACCAAAACCAAACAGGTCCCACCATCCTTCTCTTCATGGGAAACTGCACCAAACGATCTTTTTTTCTGGATCAAGCAACCTCATTTACCCTGAATCTTACAGTCTTTTTAAACCAGAAGGCCTGTTTCTAGCAGACAGGAATAGCCCAGGTACAATCTCCAACCCTCCACAAACCATACAGCCCACTCCAGTGGCAGGTCTAACATCCATGCCATCTGCACACACTTACCTGCTCTCACACGGCTGGATTGCCACGCGAGGAATGACTCTCAGTGCTGAGGCCTATTCCTGGCCAAGAGTCCACGTAGCTGCTGGCAGAGCACTCTGCCAGGTAGCATGGTCGCTGCCCATGAGGAAAGCTCCGATATTTCTGATCCTGTGACTTCTCCACACTTTTTCTCCCCGCCCCCTGACCTTTCATCAGTTCCAGGCCCTTCACTTCTCTGCTCCATGCTGATTCAGATGGCTGCTACTGCTGTTCCAGATCTCCTGTTCTTCCATGACACTCAATGTGAGGATTCCTGGAGCAAGCAAGATGGAGAGTTGCCATCTCTGGAAGTGCTTGCTGAGGGAATTGGCTTCCACATTCATGCTGCAATGTGCTTAGCAGAGCATCTGACTTGCTGCTCAAATCTGAGAAAGAAAAAAAAAAAAGGGGAGGGGGGAGGCAGGAGGGAAGGTACTAGTAGGTAGGCAAGAGGGCTCCCAGCTAGTGCTTCAAGCCTGTAAAGAAAGTGTTCTCTATTTTGAGAAGATATTTGCCTCAATACTTTCAAATGTCTCTTGAAAGAGGGAAAAAACAGCAGCAATATTTAGGCCCTGGGTGCATCTTTATTTTTCTCTGCTATCAACTAAGCTATCTAGGTGTCCCTCCAAGGGGCCAGAGGAGCCTTCCTAACAGTTGGTCCAGCTCCCACAAGTGACCTACTGAAGGGTGTCTGCTTCCCAAGTCACACAGATTACAGAACAGTACACCCCTGTTCAGTGATTTTTTTCAGCCCTCCCACTTTACACTATCACCAAGAGATGGGAGAAGCTTATAGAAAATAAATACTTTACAAAGACAATACATTCAGGGATTTCCTGGAGGCTTTTATTTACAGAAGCTATTTGTCAGAGACTAGAGAACTCTTGTTTTTCACCTGAGACTGTCTGGACTTCTCCAGCCTGTGAAACAAGATGCCTGTGTCAGGTCCAAGCTGTCTCCCTTCAAAGGGACAACGCTTTCCACTGTAGCGTGGCAGAAATGTCAAATCTGACAGACTTCGCTCCTCTGGCTCAACAGACAGCCTGGAAAGCAGCTTGTCGGCAGTGCTTGGGATCACAGGCTGCAGGAGAGTGCCATAGACCCGCAGACACTCCAGCGTAACGTGAATGATGGTGTCAAGCCAGAGCTTCTCTGCAGGCTCTTTACGGTCCAGCTTCCAGGGCTGGTGTCTCTGGAAGAAACCGTTGGTTTCCCTTACGCACAGGGCAATACATTCTAAAGCCTTGTAGATCTGGAAACCTTCAAAATAACTGGCCACCTGCAGAGGCAGAGAAGCCACAGACGCCACAAGCTCATAGTCTTCAGTTGAAGCCCTACCCAAGGCTCGTGTCCCACCATAATCTGAAACCTTTGGAAAACAAGACTCTGAGAAACATGGGTAAGTGTTGCTGGGATTGATGCTGAGAGCCGTTGAACGATTCAGAAGTCCCCCAAGCGCATCTGCCAGCTCTGAATTCACTAACTTCACAACCTTCTCATCGTAATAGTCACAGTCCCGCTCAGGCACACCTTGCCTGAGCAGGAAGTACCGAAAACCATCTACTGTGTACTGCCTAAAACAAGAATCAGGGTCAATCACATTGCCCAGGCTTTTGGACATCTTCTGCCCATGGACAGTCCAGTGGGAGTGCACAAAGATCCGCTCGGGGGGGGCCAGCCCGGCCGCCATCAGCAGCGCTGGCCAATAGACAGCGTGAAACTTGAGGATGTCCTTGCCCACAATGTGGTGTGCGGCGGGCCACCACTCACCGTGCGTCTCGGGGGAACCCAGGACGCTCAGGTAGTTCACCAAGGCATCCACCCATACATAGATAGTTTGCGTCGAGTCGTTGGGGACAGGGATACCCCACTGCAAGCGGCTTCTATCGCGAGAGACAGACAGGTCGGGCAGGTCCTCTTGCAGCCAGTGGAGCACTTGCTGATAGAAAGGAGCAGGGGAAATGACATGCGGGTTGTCCCGCAACCACTTCCGCAACGGCTCCTGGAATTCAGAAAGCCTGAACATATAATTCTCCTCTTTGGTCCAGTGCACCTAAGAACACAGGAGAGAAAAGAATTACAACCCAGATGAGCAATTTCATAATTTGCACATGGCATTTCTGGTAGGGATTTTGTCACATGATCTTTCTACACCTGGTGGGAACCTCCTCTCCTAAATCTTAAGACACTAGCTCTCTGAGATGACATGAGAAGATTTAGGCACTCAAAGAAGCTCAGCACATCCTTGGGGCTGCCGGGTAGGAATAGCTTTCTACGTGCCAGATTGGGCAAGAATTACAGAAATTACACTTCCTTAAAAACACAGCCTTGCAACAACAGCACAGAACCATAAAAAAGACAAAATGCAGGAGGCTTTGTTATAAATCACCTTGCTAGGAAACCTAGAGTGCCTTAGCTTCTCTCCTAGCTGCTGCCTGCCTCTTTTTCCTCAGTTTAAGCTTCAGCGCATCGCAGCTGCCAACTTGGATAGGCTGTACTGGTACAAACAGGTTTAAGGTGAGGTCAGGTCAAAGCCCTGCCAGCACTTCTCCCACACATTTAATTTCATTAAATGACACCTCTGGCTAAAACAATGAAAACTTCGTGGATAGATAAGGTATGACTGAACTGTGTAAAGGCAGTTTAGATCTATGGCTAGGCCAGGAATTCATGTCTTTTAAAAAACAGGTGAGGCTCCAAAGCAATGGAGGCAGCTTGCAGGGCAAAGCTGCAGTTTCTAGCACCAAACCCAACTTCTGACCGAGCCAGAAAGTGCGTTGCTTTCATTGCAATAAAGAGCCTACTGCACGTCAAAGCAAGATGGCCTAAGGACTAATTAGTCCCTGTGGTATGAAACTACACTTAATGGCATAACTAAACTTGTCTCATTTCAGCTAACAGTTGCCACTGCATTTGCTTGGCAAATTAAAAGGTCGTCCCCCCAAAGGAAACACTCTTCCCTAAACAAATCATACTTGTGGCATACGGAGACATCAGTAAAGGGCAGAGTAATTATAACGACATTTAAAACCAGTTCTCTGTTCAAGGTTTGTCTGTGGGCAGTTAGTCCCTACGACATTTAAAACCAGTTCTCTGTTCCAAGGTTTGTCTGTGGGCAGTTAGTGGAACATCCTCCCTGCGGAGGGACATCCCTCTGGACCTACACACAGTCCTGATCTTAGGAGAACAGGACAATTCAGGCTAGAAGGCACCTCTGGAAGTCTCTAGTCCAACCTCCTGCTCACAGCGGGACCAGCTGAGGGGTCACACCAGGTTACTCAGGGCTTCAGCCAGTCAGTTCTTGAAAAGCTCCAAGCTGGAGACCACACAACCTCACCCTGACTCTCCACGCTGGGCAACCATTTCCCCTTAAATCCACCCTGAACATCTCTTTTTTCCCAACTTAAGCCCCTTCTTAAGTTGGCACAAGCACACACTAACAGGGGGGAGAAGGAGAATCATTTCCTGCAAAAGTCTCTTACGTATTAGTGGCTTCAAGGCAGATCTGCAGAATAGTTTTCAAAGGTGAGCTACATAACTTTGCCCCCAGGCTCTGAGAAGTCAGATTCAGAGGTATCGGTTTTATGATATGCTTTACTTTCTTCCTTTTCATCCCCACATTTCTCAGGCAGCAAATCACCCGTCTCTTTCTTTCTCATTGGCAAATATGTACATATTTGCCTGAGAACTTGCCCTTTTCTTCAGCCACATTAGGTGCTCTAGCAAGAGACATTTGATCCTTCATATAGTGAACCAATACCTCCCATGCTCCAGTAGGAAAAGAATAACCTCTGCAAAGTGACCTGCAACCACTGGCTTCAATTACCTGACCACCAGCACAACATAAGACGTCTGCAGCGGCCTGTCCACACTGCGATGTGATTGCCACTCCAGGTGACAACATTACAGAGTGCTACTTCAGGCCAACGACCACATGACAGGATATGATTGAGGATATGATTGATGTCTGGTGGTTGAGCTTCACAAACCAGGTCTGAAACTGTAGACATGAGGCAAACAGCTCACTTGTAAACAGCTACCTTAACCCAAGGAGCACCTATCCCCTCTGTGGCTAACGTCTCTCCTTGCTGCTTTAACACACTGCCTCCTGGCCAGCAGAGAGCCCTGTCCAGTGACACCGCTGCGATCTGTCACCTGGCACCTCGGAGATCCCACTGGCAGCTCTCCCCATGCAACAACCCGCAGCTATGGAGCAGAGATGGCTGATGTGGGCAAGTCTCAGCCCATGTGAACGACAGAGCTTGCCGGAAGCCTCCAGTCGCCCAGGGCTGCTGGGCGGCCCCGTTACCTGGTGGCCGGACTCGAGGGACACCTTGAGCGCGCGTCCCTGCGCGTCGCGGCGCTCGGCGAGCTGGCTGGCGGGCAGGAAGCTCTCCTCGGCCGTGCAGTACCAGCCCTCGTAGCAGCCCTTGTAGAGCGCGCCGCGCTCCCGCAGCGCGGCCCAGAAGTGCCGCACGGCGCGACAGTGCCGCGGCTCGCTGGTGCGCACGAAGTCGGTGAAGGAGACGGCGCCCTGCGCCAGGGCCCCGCGGAAAAGCGCCGAGACGCGGGCGCAGAGCTGCGCCGGGGACACGCCGGCCGCGGCCGCCGCCTGCTGGATCTTCAGCCCGTGCCCGGCGGTCCCCGA